CTACACCAAAAGACTTAAGCAAGAAAAGATAATTTTGCTTCACTAAAATTATCGAATATAATATGTCTTTAAAGAATATTATCAGAAAAGTGCAGAGATAGCACACCGAATAAAAGAAAATATTTGCCATCATATATCTGTAAGGGACTTGTACCTGAAATATACAAAGAACTCTTACAAATACTTAGCAACAGAAAGACAAATAACCCAATTAAAATACGGGCAAAGCATTTGAAGAGAGCTGTCTAAAGAAGTTATACAAATAAGCACAATATACAAAAGTACATGGAAATATGCTGAATTATTCATTAGGGAAATGCAAAGTCAAACCACTTCACACTCACTAGGATGGCGAAAATCCAAAAGACAGTCAATAACAAGTGCTGACAAGGATAAGAACACTCATACACTGCTGGTGAGAATAGAAAATGATGCAGAGGCTTTTTGGGGGAAAAAATGGGAGTTCCTCAAAATTTTAAATTAGAGTTACCATAAGTGTTAGCAGTTCTATCCTTAGCTAGTACCCAAAAGAAATGAAAACTAGATCCACACAGAAACTTGTACACTAATGTTCATAGGAGTACTATTCATAATAGCCAAAATTGTCCATCAACTAAGTAATGTACAAAGTTGGGTCTATCCATACAATGGAGAATTATTCATCCATAAAAATAAAGGAGGCAGTGATGCATGCTACAACATGAATAAAAGTTGGAAATATTATGCTGAGTCAAAGAAGTTAGTTTAAAAAGAGCCCATATTGTATAATTGCATTTATATGCAGTATAAAATTGGCAAATCTATGGAGATTGCTTGTCTACAGAAAGGAGGGGGAAAGTGTTCAATGGTTCTGGGGCATGAGGCGTGACTACTAATGTCCAAGCTTCCTTTTGGGGTGTTAAACATAAAAACTACTGAAAACTACAAAATTGGATACTTTGAATGGTAAATTTTATAGTATATGAATTGTTTCTCAATAAAGCTGATAAAAAGAGCTTTTACCTGAAAATTTGACATTTCCAGGTAAAAGAAAGATCTTTTGAGTCCCCTCCATCAAAAAGGTATTGGTTATGTTTCAGTAACCTAAAATAGTTAAGATCATATTTTGAAAACTGGCAAAAGTACATTAAAAAATATTTGATTTTTCACAAGTACACATTGCATATGAAGATAGACACGACTGGAATGGGTTTGTTTAAATCCTTACTGATGATGTTGCTATGAAAATCAACCAAATTTACAGGAGGAAAAATGAATGTTTGCTTGTGTCTGACGCATCATATTGCTACGCGCTGCATTTAATCAGTTGCCTATCTCCATTTATTTTTATAACCTCGCTCTTCATTTTCTTCATGGCTAAATTGCATGATATGTGTTGTTCTGCTTCAGGAAGAACCATCTGTTGTGTAATTATCACCAGGGGCTAACCATTATCTCAAGGTGCAGATATTCAGCATTACAGGTAATATAAATGCATAATTTACTATGCCTACATGCCTAATTGAAAACTCAAATGTATCCAGCTAGAACCATATGTGATCAAGAATTCTGGGCTTTGAGAAATAGCATCTTGCTCTCAAACTTGCAAACAAAATAACTTTTAAACTGCAAAATTTACTGATCAAAATTTGAAAAATGACAGATTTGGGGACTTTGAGACAATTGCACTTAACTCAAGAGAAATTAAAGGCAGAAAAATAGCACTTATGTAAACAGAGGAAATATAATATTCATTGACATAAAGTCATAGATGACTTTGAAATTTTATTGCTGTTTGGAACATAGAGAGGGCAATTACAACATGTGGCAATTCCAATCAACATGGGCAGCGATCCTGGCCTTAATGTTATTTTTTTTTCTTTCTGAACAACTGTGTAAGCTAGAGGGAAGAAAAAAAGGATAAAGATGATTGTTAACTACTGAGGATATTTTCTGATATATCATATTCTAAATTTAGTCTCTTGACACAGATTTCTGTGTACATTAGGCAAATTGTGTGTCAATAGAAATGTTTCACTTTCATTAGGGAAACGCAGATATATAGATAAATGAGTTTTTATTTACAAAATATAAAATGAAAATAGAGCATATTCATTTCCATCTGGTACACTGCCTTTAAATATTCTGCTTAAAATTAATGCTTGTGTGCTGGCTCTAAATTCTTTCTTATGCATTACTGAAACCTACACTAAATAAAATCATTTCAAAGTTTTGTACTGTGACATATAATGTACCCAACAGAATTCATACCCGGTCTGCTCTTGTTATACTCCTGAATGCTGATAGCTACTCTCAGGATGGACACACCTTTAGCATTCCTTGAAGTAAATCTCTAACTCTAGAATGCACATAGATAATAAGAGGTTTAATAGAAAAGATAATATAAAGATGATATGTGTTGCTCTACATCATATGTCATTAAGGAAATGCAAAGTAAAATAACAAGATACCTCTAACACACCTATTAGAATGGTCGAAATCTGGAATGCTGAGAATACTAAATGCTGGTGAGGATGTGGAGCAATAGGAACTCTCATTTATTGCTACTGGGAAAACAAAATGGTACAACCACTTTGGAGTTTGGTACTTTCTTACAAAACTAAACATACTTTTACCATATGCTCCAGGAATTGCACTCTTTGTTATTTACTCAAAGGGGTTGAAGACTTATGTCCACACAAACACCTGCATATGGATGTTTACAGCAGCTTTTTGCATTACTGCTAAAATTTGGAAGCAACCAAGATTAACTTCAGTAGGTCAATGGATAAATAAACTGTGGTACATTCAGATAGTGATATATTATTTAGCACCAAAAAGAGATGAGCTTTCAAGCCATGAAGAGACATTGAGGAACCTAAAATGCATGTTACTACATAAAAGAGGTCAAACCAAAGATGCGACATGCCCTATCATTCCAATGTGACATTCTGGAAAAGGCAGATCTATAGAGAGAGTAAAAAGATCATTGGCTGTTGAGGTGAGGCTGGGAGGAGAATGAAGAGGTAGAGCACAGAGGATTTTTAAAGCAGTGAAACTCTTCTATATGATGCTATAATGATGGATACATGTCATTATACGTTTGTCAAAACCCATAGAATATATAACACCAAGAGGGAGCCCTAAGGTAAACCATGGACTTGAACGATAATGATGAGTCAATGCAGGTTTACCAATAGTAAAAATTGAGCAACTCTAATAAGAGATGCTAATAGCAGAGGAGGCTGTTCATGTTTGGAGCAGTGGGTATATGGGAAATCTCTGGGCCTTCCTTTCAATTTTGCCGTAAACCTAAAAGTGCTCTAAAAGTATTATCTTTTTTAAAACATCAAAAACATATGCACCTCTATGTCCACAGCCGAGCTATTTACAATAGCTAAGATCTGGAAACAGACCAAGTGCCCATCAGTAAACGATTGGAGAAAGAAGCTGTGGTACATCTACACCAGGGAATACTATGTAGCAGTAATAAAGAAGGGTCTTTTACTGTTTGAGACAGCATGGAGGAACCTGGAGAGTATTATACTAAGCGAAATAAGCCAGTCAGAGAGAGACAAGTATCACATGATCTCACTCATATGTGGAATCTAATGAACAAAATAAACTGATGAATAAAATAAACCAGCATGAAGAATTCAAAAAGTAATAGGAGGATAGACAGGATAAGAACAAGGAGAGATGGCCTCATATTACCCAAGAAAGGAGAATTTAAATGACTTAATTACTACAACAGTGCCATTTTGCTAAAGCATTAGAAGATAAATTTATATTTCAAAGGCTTAATGCATGGGTGGAGAAAACAGAGCAATCCAACCGAGAACACTAATTTCATGAATTTTTTGTTAACCTATAAAAACAGAAATAACACGATGAGGATTCTAAAAAGATATCTAAATAAAGTTCAAGACAGGGAAACCAAACATCTGACATTGAAGCAGCCATTAATGTTATAAAGATGCATAATTTTTTTAAAAAATCAATTAAAATTATTCTTCACAACAGAACTATTAATCAAATTGTAATTTATTAATCTGTTGGTTAATCTTCTGGTGAAGACTTTCTGTATTCAGCACTATGTACTATGGCAAAGAGTCATAAAAGTAAGCATATTTTGTTACCAAATAAATGGTATGTTTATTAAATAGACAAACATCATGGGATATAGAACAATAAAATTAAAATAAGTTTTCAGGGCAAACTGCATTAAAATGTTTGGCAGTGCTGTTTCTCCCTTAAGAAAAGTACTCTCAGACCATCCAGCCACGTTTGCCTCCTGGCTCAATAAATAAACAAGTAAGATGGAATGCTTTCCAACATTTGCATCTGTCATCGTGCTTGTTTTTCAAAATTATCTCTATATATAAAAGCCTAAGTGACCTGTTGACTGAACGACTGGACGACCGGTTGACTGGTCACTATGACGTGCACTGACCACCAAGGGACAGATGCTCAACACATAGAATCGGGCTCCCTCCTGTCTGGATCGGGCCTGCAGGGATCAGATGGAAACTGGCTATCTGACATCCCCCGAGGAGTACCATATTATGAGAGGGAGCAGGCCAGGTCGAGGGACCCCACCGGTGCACGAATCCGTGCACTGGGTCTCTAGTCTAGTAATAAAAGGTCATCAAGCCATATATTTCTTTTTTTAAAAAAAAAGCTAACATTGTAGATGTGTCTGGCCATATTTTTATCTTCTTAATACACTTTTTTCTTCTTTTACTAAATTATATATTTCTTTAGAATGAAATTGCACTTCTATTCCCAGCAAGTATGAGGTTCTTGGCATAGAGCAGGTGAGAGATCATAAAAGCATGCATTAGCGCAGGGACTGAGGGAGGAGAGGACTCATTTTAGGAATAGGTGGTAAAATCAGTAGGTCTCTGTGATAAATCTACCACAAAGCCAGCAAACATCAAACTCTTCAGAAGCTTACTAGTAGATGTGGAGTGAAAGGTGCAACTGGGGCAGCTTCCCCAAAAGAAACGAAAAGCAAAGACATGACTGATGGTGGAAGACGTTCTATGCTGACATGTCCAGGTAACAAATCTGGGAGCAAGGGAGAGGTCAAAGATAAAATTACAGCCATTATTCATGGAGGCCTTCTTCTAAGTACTTTACAAGTATCTCATTTAATTTTTACCAACTACCCTACTAGGGAAGTTTTATTTTTATCATATTCCACAGCTGTGGAAAAAGAAGCACAGGATTCTAAATAATACGCCCAAGTTTGCACAGCAAGTAGTGGTGGAGGCTGACTTTGAACCTGGGTTCGTAAACTCATTACTGTGCCTCACTGAAGAGAGGAGGTAACTAATAAAGTCCCATAGCAGATGTGAGGGAGCAGGGACACAGATAACAATTTATCCTAAAAGGAAGATGGCCCTAGACCAGCCGTGGGCAAACTACAGCCCGCGGGCCGGATCCGGCCCATTTGAAATGAATAAAACTAAAAAAAAAAAAAAAGACCGTACCCTTTTATGTAATGATGTTTACTTTGAATTTATATTAGTTCACACAAACACTCCATCCATGCTTTTGTTCCGGCCCTCTGGTCCAGTTTAAGAACCCATTGTGGCCCTCGAGTCAAAAAGTTTGCCCACCCCTGCCCTAGACCCAAAGGAAAGGACATAAAGATGAGGGCAGATGCAGAAAGTGTTTAAAAGAGGTCAAACAGGGAGTTAAAGTGCTTGATGAAGAGGAAAGCAAGGCTGTCCCTAATGCTGAGGCAGGGTGAATATTGGGGAGTTACTCTGAAAACACTTGAATGCATGAGGAGAGAGCAGTAACTTTCATCATATTTCTCATGATGTCCCTGTGTAAGAAACATGAGAAAGTCATTACAGTGACCATACGGTGATATTACTATATAAAAAGAAAAAATGAGGACTTTAAAAAAAAATTCAGGCTAGATCAGAATAACAGATGGATTATGTACTTCTGAGCTACATTATGTAAATTTGATTTTGAAAATCTCATAAAACCAAAATCAGGTTTTAAGGAATATAACATAAACATAAGAATTAAATTATACCTTCATGTGCTAAGAAGTAAATCTAAGTAACGATAGAGAAATCTGTCTTTATTATTAATCAGTATAATCCCATAAAGCTGGAAGGGACTTTGGCATCAGGTGACCCAAACGCTTCCCTTCTCAGCAGAGGAAACTATATGACTTCCCAAAAATGACAGTCCATTGAGAGGAAAACCAGGCCTTGAGAATCCTGTAGTCTTTTCTCTTTTGCATGTGGTCGGGAGAAACGATCTCTCTCATGTTCTTTTTAACCCATGTCCTCTTTATGTTGTCCTAACATGTACATCAATTAATCTACTGTAATAGGTGTAGCAACTATTAATTGATCCTAAGGGGTCAGAGAAGGGAACTAACATGTATAGAATGCGTACTCTTTGCCAACATTATCAGTAATCTTGTGTTTGGGCTTTAGCATACATAATTAATTACCTTGAGTGTTTTTGGATGGCTCCATCTATTTCCACTGTTGAGGAAACTGTGACCGAGGGAGGTAAATAACTCATGTGACGTCACATATGGTCATTTATTCCCACCGCACTATGTTCTACCATGATATTTGCATCTTTTTAAAACCTAAATATTATTTTTCCCCAAGACTTTAGATATTTTTTCCTTTTAAAAAAAATATCAGCACTACCCAGCCAGCGTGGCTCAGTGGTTGAGCGTCAACCTATGAACCAGGAGGTCAGTGTTCGATTCCTGGTCAGGGCACATGCCCGGGTTGTGGGCTTGATCCCCAGTGTGGGGTGTGCAGGAGGCAGCTGATCAATGATTCTCTCTCATCATTGATGTTTCTATCTCTCTCTCCCTCTTCCTTCCTCTCTGAAATCAATAAAAATATATTTTAAAAAGTAAAAATAAAAAATATCAGCACTGAGAGCTACAGGATAGCTTCCTCAAGTCTGATAAGTCATCTATTTTCCAGATTTCAAAATTCTGTTTCCCCTTATCTTTTCTCTAGTTTCCCTGACCTTGTGTTTCAAAAAATTTTTTGTTTCTACAAATGTTAATAAAGTCTCAGGAAGGAGGAAGTTAGACATTTGCATTTAAGCTCATATTCTTATCTGCTATTCCCCAGAATATGTTTCAACACACATCTGACATCATTGTCAAAATGCATGTGGACACTCCCAACTTTTTCTAACACTTCTTACACTGACCAAAGTCAATGCCTTCTCTTTATTGTCATTGATAAAACCAAGTAGATTCTTTACATATGGCCTTTTGTTAGATTTACATTTTTGTAACATTTATATTATTTAACCTTTTAGATTCTGTATCAGATAATAAAAATTTGGCCAGCTCCCTGGTGAAATATTGCCTGTTCAGTTTGAACAGCAAAATGTTCGAAAAATAATATAATTTTATGGAGTAGGTATTCTTACACCTTAGAACATTTAATTATTTGTCTCACCCCTGAAAAATGTGAGGTCTCTAAAGTACTTTATTGACATTAAATAAATAAGAAATGAATGAATAAATGAGTGTATAAGTCATGCATATTCAATATCTGTCTCAAAATAATAAATTTTTATTATATTTTCCTTTATCTCTACATTTGTTTGCCTGATCCAGATCCTTTCCTGAGGAATGATTTTTCAGTTTGGGGCTGTGTTTTCTAAATTTCTCTGGCATTGATTATCGATTTTATATGTGAACTCATCATTTGGTAGACTCTATTACTGTGCTCATAAACGCTGAGAAGCTACTACTAATGTCAGTTAGCTACTAAAATGTATTTGCTAACTTTGCATCCTTCATCCTCAGGCACAATATGTAGATTCAATCCCAAATCACAATGGTTAACTCAGCACTTTGGGTCTAGCTTGGTAATACAGCACTATTTCCACATAGTGTAATTATTTGTTTATATTTCTTTCTTGAATATACTGTGACTTTTTCAAGGACAGTAACCAGGACTTACTCATTTGGGGTATTGCTTAACTCTATTGAAAACATATCTACCATGCTATTCATAACATCTTTGCCATGCAATAAGCAATTGTTAAAGCAACTCAGTTACACACCCTTTTGCCACCACATTAAAAATCTGCACGGACTAGAGCTTTGTTTGAACTGATCTGACTAGAATATATATTGTTACACAGACAGCTTCCCAGAATACTAAAACATCTATTCAATTTGGTGGGGGAAAAAAAGAACTACAAAATTAACATTGTTGATGCAAAATTGCCTATGTGTTCTTCACTTTTTTCGCCTTTCATACAGATGTCCTGGTATTATATTAAAAAAAGAGAAATAAATACCGCTATGTACATCCAATGGCAATTTTTCTCCTTTCCCATTCCTTCTTTAATCTCACTCAGCAAATTGATTTGACTAGCTCAGAAATGGATCTGCTATAAAAAATATTACCAACTTCACAATGATTCTGGAATCTCATAAATCGTAATCATTAGCATGACCTCCCTTTAGAATTCAATTAGCTCCAAAGGAACAATTTCCTATAATAGATTTACCTCTATTACCCCTAATAGCATTAACTGGGCAAGGCTACAGATGGCATTATGAGCGATTCCAGTGCTTGCTCAGGAGCACACTGGCCTTGACTGAATCCAAGTGTGTCTCAAGGTCTGAGTCCTTCCTTTGCTGCTGCCCTTACCCCAATGTCTAACTGTGAGGTAGTCTTTACCTCATATATGTACTGGTTCTCCTTAAATCCTAACAAATGTTTGGTTAAAAGTCTACTGCTGCTATTATTCCTAAACTTCTCTATTTGTCATAATCTCTTTTTAAGAAATTATTTTAAACTTAATTTTATTGTAGTATTGCAGATGTCCCCCCCCTGCCCCCCCAGCCCCTTTTACCCTCCCCCTCCCAGCCCCTGCCCCACCCCAGGTCTTTATCAAACTATTGTCTGTGTCCATTGGCTATGCATACATGTATATGAGTTCTTGGGTTAAGCTTTTATCACTGTCTCCCCCTACTCCCTGCCTCCCCCCACAACTCCCCTCCCATGAGAAATTTCAGTCTGTTCCATGTATCCATGTCTCTGGACCTATTCTATTAGTCAGTTTATTACGTTCATTAGTCATACTCTCTTTTTCTACTTTTCATTGCAAATGCAGCCTTGGGAAGAGTATTAGTTTATGAAGATGATATGGTCAGCAAGTGAACCAGTGATCACTTCCCCAGTGCAAAATTAGCAGGTAGCTAGAATTATCACTACGGTCCCTTCCTGTTTAAAACTTCAGGGTCAAGAATCAGTTTGCTTATCCAGGCCCCTTCCAAGTTGGCTCTCAGACAAGTCACGTTTTGACCACAGACCTCTGTTCACTTGGTGACAGCTGACTGGCCAGCAGAGTTAGAAAAGGACTTTCATGAGAACACTGGCTACAGCAGTGATGGCGAACCTATGACACGCGTGTCAGAGGTGACACGCGAACTCATTTTTTTGGTTGATTTTTCTTTGTTAAATGGCATTTAAATATATAAAATAAATATCAAAAATATAAGTCTTTCTTTTACTATGGTTGCAAATATCAAAAAATTTCTATATGTGACACAGCACCAGAGTTAAGTTAGGGTTTTTCAAAATGCTGACACACCGAGCTCAAAAGGTTCACCATCACTGGTCTACAGGCTCCCCAAACAGACTGACTCAGTGACATCCAGGTATGGGAAGTTCAAGATCAGTTAAGCCATTATAGAGGGACTGAGTTAGTTGATAGTGAAAGGGCGAGGGCTATGCCCTCCATCTTGCCTGTATCCTCCATGTTGGGGCAGTTGCCACGTGCGGGAAGCCCAGGCCTCTGCTGGCCACGCCCGGGATTTTAAACTAACCAATGACAATCAAGGGAAGTGCGCGCCGTAGATATGACCACATCCTGTGTAACAAGACCCGGCTTGCACCTGGCCAATCGGCAGGGCCCACAATCCCCTCGCTCCATCCCCCTATTAAAACCCGGTTTTTCCCAGGCGGGGGGACTCTGCTTCTGGTCACTGCGCTGGCCTGGAGCGGAGTCGGGTTGGCTAGCCCCCAATA